AAAATCCCCCCCCCCCCCGCAAAAACAGAGATTAAGTTAAACATAAATTCCTGGGTGTATTCTTGAATCTCTCAAAGATGGATGTTAACTCTACTACTGAATGAGGTAAGGACGGATGTAAGTTGACTATTCAACTATCTGATAAGCATGCACATAAGCTTATTGGGTAGTCGAGTAGAGTACAGCCGATCCCCGAGTTACGAACAGGCGATTTATGACCGTTCGCATGTATGACCAAACCTTCTATTAAGCGGTTGTAAAGGCAGTCCCTGAGTTACAAACACGACCCACATTTACGAACAGCGCAGTCGCATGTAAATCAATGGGGTTCGACTTACAAACACTTCAAGTTATGGCCAAGTGTTTGGTCCATAGCTCGTTCGTATCTTGGGGACTGGCTGTACTCAACTACTTGCTTCCCCTTCCCCCGCCCTTTTGCAGCCTTTGTATGAGAGGCTAAAAGGAGGAGCTCATGCTGGGGGCGGTGCCACCTCCAGCCACCTCTCCCCCCCGCCTCTAATAGAGGCAGCGAGCTGGGGGTAGGGAAGGCTGCTCCAGCAGCAGTCCCTATACATGGGGGGTCCCTGCCCACCAAGCTCTTACTACAGCCTCTCTTCGAGTTACGAACGAGTTACGGACTAAACACTTGGCCGTAACTCTATCTGTTCATAACTCGGACCCCACTGAGTTACACGTGACCACACTGTTCGTAACCGCGGGTCGCGTTCGTAACTCGGGAACCGCCTTTACGACCACTCTATGGGAGCTTTGGTTGTAAGTGCGAACGATCGTAACTCGACCGTTCGCAACTCGGGGAGCGGCTGTACATTTAAAATGCAGAGGCGCAGCGGTCCTGGAGCAAGGCTCCCATTATTAACTAATCGTGTTGTTCATACAAATTGCATCAACTATACAATCAGCAAAATACCCGTTCCTTAACATCCTTAGAACAAGGTTCTCTGAAGAGGGAGTGAATCAATGCAAAGGAAGTGGAACACAGTTGTATATAAAGTATGCACATATTTTAAGAATGGACAATTATAACAAAACAAAACAAAACAAAAACAAGCAAAAAAAAACCCAAAATTAGTCACTGAAATATGTAATTTAACATGATTTCCTGGAATGTTGCAAAATATAAAGTCAGCAGATGCAATGAAAGAATGCAGACATGAATACGTCTGTCTCCGTTTTATTATGGTGCCCATCCACACCCAAAGAAATGATCTCAGATCCGTAAGTTAACTAATTAGAGTGTCTGCAGCAATTTCAGTACACATGAACAATATCTAACTATGGAACAAGCCTCTGTTGTCTGGTGTGCTACATGCAAGATGGTGGCTAAGAACTAACACCTAGTGTCAAATTCTTAACAAGTGACTTAACTTGAGAGGGATATATTGAAAACAGCTGCTAAAAATATGCAGCAAGAGATCCTTTAAACCCAGGCTTTAAGATAGCAGATAACTAGAATAATTTGCAGCTTCTTTTCCAGTACTGCACAATGTAAGGTTCAAGGATCTTTAGTCTTGTTCATACCAACATCATAATTTATTCACTTTTTACAAAGTCACCCTACGCAACCTTTTTTATGAGAGCACACAAAGGCTTTTATCCTGTAATATGATGCTATCTTTCCACCCAACTACAGTACCTCTTTGGTGTTAAGTGGGCAAATGTGGATTTTATCTTCTCGTTAAAAAACAATGTAGTTTGAGGGCAAATTCCATAAATCCTGTTTCTCAGTGTAAAAGATTTCTCAATGAAACAGTTCAATCTAATGTCCTCTAATATTCCTGAAGCAGAAAAGTACTAAGTACGACCATAGTTATTTCACACACACCCTCTTACATCACACAACTCTAACTTCTTGCATTGAAGCAATAGAACAAACAAGACGACATTCCACTACAAAAAAAACAACCCTACCAGTGTGATTAAGGAACACTACATAATTGGCCTGTACTTTTGGTGCAAATTAGGAACCATCCCTGGAAAACCAGGACATGAGACAAATCCAGTTATACTATAGGAATGCTTTAGCCAATTGATCCTGCTTTCTTGAAACTTAAGTTGCTAGCAACGTTACTGCTAGCCCAACTTTGTTAGCTACACCTTATTTAATTATCACTCACAAAGAGGGCTTTGTGCAACTTGCTTCTGTGGCAAGATCCCTGGATTCTGCAGTGCTTGTATGCAGAATGCTGGAAATTCTATAGCAGATCAATTTAAATAGTGGGTTTTATGTAATTAAACATGTCAATGATCAGTACAATCAGGACTGAAGTTTGTGTGTTATTTGTTGGGATTCTAAATCCTAGGTATGCACTCCCAATATTTTCAGTTTTCAGTATGCCAAAGGTTTCTGTATTGAAAATACAGAAGGGTACTGCAAATTGTCAAGGGGAAGCTGAAGGTTTTGGCAACTGGCAAGGCATGGTAGGCTGGAGTTTGGGCATGATCACGTTATATGGTAGCTATTACAAAACGATTGGCAGTGAAATAATTGATGCTGCCACTTAAATAGTCAGCTTTAGGTTTCAGTTTTACCATCAAGATGAATGGAACAGCTCACACTCGAGATGTGAAAGGTTAACCGGTTAACCAGCTAACTTGTAAGCATCACCCAAAATGGGTAATGTTTACTGGGCCCGGTTAACCGGCAGGGGCTGGAGCAATTCCCCTCCTGCCCCTGGCAGGAGGCTGTTCCAGCTCCATGGGGACCTGCTCCGGTCAGAGCAACCCCTCTTTACAGCAGGCCCAGCCTCCCGTTGCAGGTTACACACTGGCTCCCGCCTCAAAAGACCAAACTATTATATCCTAGGAGTTCCTTGTCCATCACTCATTTCACTCAGATTTAGTGCAGAATTTAAAATGATCACAGGGCTTGGTTATCAGGAAACACAGCAGTGTATTTTCAGTTCTTCACTCACATTTCTGCCTGCATTATGAAAATAAGCAGATAAGTGAAATACTCACCCACTCTTGAAGAGTGGCTACAATGGCATAGCTACATATTACCCTGTGTGGAGAGACTGCAGCACTAAGAACAACACAGGTAAATGGACGTGTCTCATTTCTGCTTGCGAAAGTAAGTGGAATGTAAGATTCCCTATGTATGCAGCCTGTACACACTTGCCCTGCATTACTGCTTAGCCAAGAAGCTAATTAACTAGCGTATCAGGAGGGATAAGAACAGGTTCACCTCCTCTTCCCAAGGGCTGAAGTACAGTTAAGCACATTCAGTTTTATTCAGCCCTATACCATCCATACAAATAAAACATAATCCAATGTCTTTATGGATTCAGAAGTTCCATATATCCAGCCACTTCAAAGTGGAGAATAAGAGCATTTCCAAGTGAGTCTAATGGCTTTGCTGGCTGGTGTCGTGGTCTATTTCTTTAGAGATGCAGATCCTCCTCCTCTCTCCCACCCAGACCCCATGCTAGCAGGAGCAGATACCATTTGGTTCTCTGCCAACTACGCTTTCACAGTCAGTTGAAAAGTTCTGTGATCTCAGAGAACTCTGTTGGCTCCAGGAGAAAGGTGAGGAGATATTTAGCATGAAGATGAGGGGCTTGGACTGTGTCAGAAACCAAAAGATGTCTCGAGAAGTGCTTAAATGAAGGGGGACCCTGACGCATAATAGATACCTTAGACAGGACTGGGGAAAAGCACAGAGTAGCTCACATTCAGAGTCATCTATAGCAGAGAAAGCAAGCTTGCCCTCAGCAGGCAGCCTGGATACGGTCCCAGTCCTGCAATCTCTGATTCAGGAGTAGCCCTTACAAGCAGACTGCTCAGAAATGCAGTTACTGCACGTGCGCGCACACCCTTTGAAGGGGCTGGAAATGTCGGGTTCATGAGAGTGAGGGCAGAAAGCTGTTCAGCGAGTGAGGTAGGTGATGGGCCAGAACAGCAGGGATCAGGGAACCACAGTCCCCC